TAACGATGAGATGTGAATGTGCACGTTTATAATTTATTGGGCAATTCTATAAGAACTTACAATTTCGAATAAACTTTCTAAATATAGTTGTCATCATCGGGCATTTATATGTTTTTCATTGATAAGCCTGTTTGTAGAATTGGAAATAAAAAAATATATTAATCTCCGTTAATTCATAAAGGACATTAAACAGCTACACATTATTTGAAGCAGATAAATTTTTTGTAAGAATGCCTCTTGACTAATTACAATTATGGGGGAAAAAGAATGACAAATGACTGAAATTTAAATATTAATTACGGGAAAGGGACGAGAAATTGGTTATTTTTAATCATTTTGTCCTGATTATTATGTGCTCGTTATATGCACGAGGAAACAAAATTGAAAGAAAAAATTGAAAATATTATTCAGAAATTGTATTATTATTACCTCGCAGAGTCAGTTAGCGTTAATTAAGCGTTAAATTCCTAATTATAAAATATAATAGACTGTTGAATTATATAAATACACTTTAATGTCTTATCATTTCCATCACAAATGAAAATGAATAATTATAGAGTACAATAGTAATTATGTTATTCATTTGTATAAATATTTCAAACGTGACATCATAAATGTATTAAAAAATTTGTGAAATGTTTAAATTTAAAACCAAACTGCTTGAAGTGAATAAGAAAAAAAAATTGAACTATAATGCATAATAATAAACATTTTATACTTATACTTATTGTTTATTTATTTCCACTACTTCTCGCATATACATTTGTCATTACGTTTAATAAAAATATTAAGAACAAATGAAGTTTTCTGTAATTACGGAACAGAAAGCATATAAATTAAAACGAATATTTTAAATTAGGTTATCAGTATCGAAATCAGTATATAGTAATATTATGTATTCATTTTTATGAGCTTAATTTATTTTCAAAGACTTAATCACATGGTTGATAATTATATTTATTTTTCATAAATCAAGTTGAGAGAGTTTTGTAAATACAGCTGAAGCTCGAAATTATTTATTAAACCATATTGTCAATGATGATTATAAATTGATTATGTGTCGTGAATATTTCAAATTGCTAAATTTATTAATTTACTAATATTGTATTCATAGTTTATTATAAATTAATAAGATAAAGCTATTATAGTGATGCATCAGTTGTGTTATAAAAACTAATTAAATAAATAATAGCAAGTGACAAATATTTGGAATGAATTTCTTTCGTATTAATGTATATGAAAAATTTATTATAAAAATTTATAATAATAAAATTTTAGTTTAATATATGTATGATAATAATTCTAAATGGAAAATAAAAAATTTTCCACATTAGCCCTGCACGTACGTTCACATTATTAATAATATTTATTTTAGTTGTATATCGTATTTGTGCATTGAATTTCCGAAGCCTAACATGGATAAAAATTTTGTTTATTTTCTTAATAAAAATATAGCTTCTGCTATGATAATTAATATCGAATGGATGAGTTGCATGAGTTTAAATTTATTTTTAAAAACATCCAGAGGTGATAGAAAGTGTTGAAAACTGGTCGAGCTCTATCCCATTGTCCGTCGTGCTCAGCGTTCTGAAATCGTTGCATAATGAACCACTCGCTGAGAATTCATGTTTTTATTTGTATTTATAAATAATGAAAGTCAACATTAAAATTGTATATCATCTATATCTTGATTTCCGTGTGTTTGGAATGCTGTTATGACTAAACACTCTCTATAATTATATATGTTTGGAATACTAAATTACCTTCGTATTTATAAAATTTAAAATTTAATCGATATTAAAATTGCATTGATACATTTAATAATGGATAAAATTGATTACTCATATATAATAATAATTTTATTTTTGTTATTTATTTTTGTTATATTAATCGTATATTTAGCGTTAGAATTGTTATTTTTTTTTTTGTATGAGAATATATTATAAAATTTAAAATGAATTTTTACTTAATAACATTATTTATTAATAATTTCGTTTAAAATACAAATATATATATATATATATATATAGTTTTTTTATTTAAAAACATGATAAAAACATTAATTAGCTATAAATTTTCATGTATGAAAAGTATAGTTATCGAAAAAGTGATGAAATTGTTCGTTGTAAATCAAAACATTAATTCTATCGTCGTCGGTTGATTGTTGTGTATAACATTTGAATTTGACATTGCTGACAGAAAAAAAAAAAACGAAAAAAAAAAAAGTAAATAATGAACGTGTGGAACATAAGTCAATATGATATTTTGTCATGAAAAATAAATTACTAGCATTGATTTATAGAAGAAAATTAATTCAGTAATTTATTCTTGCAAATAAAACGTATTTCCTTCTATATTTGCAGTATTATAATTAGACTGCAATAACTGCATTAATACGATGATAATCAATAAATTGATATAACGATTTCGACAGTTGCAAGTACGATGCGACGACTATTTATTACGAACTAGAGATGTGTTTCTCTTGTCTCATTATGTTGTAAGATGTAATTTCAACTTATTCAAACAGTTATATTTAAATAAAAGAAAATAATTAATCCCGTCAACTACGCTGTAATCAAATTTAACTATTTACTTAAGCGATAAATTCGTGTAGCTTTATGTAGCTTTATGCGGAAACATTAATAACATGTAATAAATGAATCTGAGAAATCGATTAAATTTTATAAGGAAAGACCCGATAAGTATCAAAAAATGATTACAAGTCAGCGCTGTTTATTTATCATCTGATGAGGGAATAATTTTTCATTGATAATAATTGCGCAATAGGGAAGCTGCGTTTTCATTAGTCCATTAACGCCGAGCACATTTTACTATACTAGAATTGACTAAATGCTCCATACCCTTAGTGTAGCAGAGACATGTCGGTCAGCATCATGCAAGAGGGGGGGAGGGGGGAGGGGGGCGGTCGTCCGTATGCTCGTTACGTCCGACATCCTGTCCCGTAAAAATTATACTCCTAAATAATGAAATCCTCCAATTCTTTCTCCCCCGTCGCTTAAAATTGATAGGCGCACCGGCACCGAGAGATTAACAATAATTATTCTATTATGTAATGGCGGTGGAGAACCAAGCGCACATTTTCAGTAAAATATAAATCTGGCGGATGTATACACACCCATGTTGGGAACCGCTAGATTTCGTGCCCGCGAGTAGCTAATACATTGTTGGCTCTGACTTAATAACAGGTGGCGCGCGCCAACCGTATTATATAACCGTGGTACCTTGAACCTGGAAACGGCTGGACTCCGGCCTAGGCTTCTCCACTTGATCGCTGGAATTTCTCGTAAGAGCCTCGCGTCCTATACGCCAAGCGTGCGTATTGAAAAAATAATGGTGAATGCTTGGCTGCTACAGTCAATGTCACCCTCGCATAAACCAGTTAACGAATAGCGAGTTCTCATTGCTATTAATTGTAATCATAATGATCTGTAATTCGAGGATAAAGTATGAGAGCGAGAGGGAAATGAGAAGAAAAATTCTGAGGATCGAGAAGAAATATATTTTGAAATTATTATGTAAATCAAGAATGTAATCTTCATCTGAATACGCAAACACGCGTTTGTTTACATATTAAAATGTCCAAATAATAGAAACGAATATTACGGACGAGTGGCTTTCACTGGTTAAAATAAAATTACCGAATTAGTAATTTTTAATTCGTGCAAACAGTCGCCAAATACGAGAGGAGGGACAATCATAATCAATAATGATAGGGATTTGATGCAAGTAATAATCCGATATTCGATGTTATCCTTTAGTTAGGATTAATAAAGCTGGAAAGGAAAGGAAGAAAGAGTTTCGATCAGAGGGAAATATTTCACCATGAAAATCGGTGGAGCAGTCGAGTAGCGAGAATGTGCAAATGTATCGAGTCCCCGTTGACTAATACTTATTAAAGCCAATAAGCAATGATTATTATGATAAATCTGCGCAATAATGAAATTGTGAGGAGAATATTTTTTTTTAACTGAAAAAAACCGGGTCATTTGTACGAGATTAGGGACTTTGGTGAAAAAATAATTTATATCAAGATAATTAGAGATTTTAAACGAAGTTTCGTAATTTTCCGTAATAAAACTTCGCGTAGAACGCGTAGATTAACTTCCTAATGAATATTTAACCATTGGAAGCTATACGCGTGGTGTGGCAATATGGAATTAAAATTATTTCTTCGTCTCAAGCATTGAGGTAACTTTTAAAAATCGAATAGAATTTCGTAAGCATATATCCCGAGCGGCAGCTGAGTAAGCTTTATTTAACGAACGTTCATAACGTTCAAGCCGCTGTAATTATTTCAAATTATCGTGGACAAAATTAAATGCCAGGTCGAGCGAACGCAACAAACAAATCACTTTCTGAAACGTCTCGCTTACAATCAAACACAGCTCTCCTATCACAATACACTCGTAGAATTATCTTATTTCAAGAGTCGCACATGGCCATTTAAAATAAGTTATTAAAGCGCTAATTCGCGCGCGCGCGCGCGCGTATCATAACGATGCCTGGAAAATGTATGTAAAGATAAACAAGTGCTCGCGCAGCCTCGCCAGTTTCACTTGTCTCGCAATCCCATAAATAAGTGCGTCCCATGATATACGTATGCAAATCAGCGCCATACCCATGCGTATTGTAGGGGAGAGCGTATGCGTGGGCGAGCGCACAAGTAAACAAGTTAGCCGCATAAGTTTACGCTTGAGTTTCTTCGCTCGGCGCCATCCCCCACCTCGACACAACACCTCTATCACCTACCCACCTTCCCCCAACAACAACGCCACCTTCGTCACCGACTCCACGGCATCTCTGCTCTCGGTTTCTTGCTCATCCATCCAGGCACTCCGCCGTCCCTTAGAATAACGAGGTGGCACGTATACGCCCCCCCCCCACTCCTCTCCATCCACCCGGCCGGTATATGCACATTACCGGAGACCAAAGTTTAATTAAAAATAAAAAACTTGCCCGCTCTTCGTTTGTTGCAGAATCAACTCCGCCGAGTACCAGCCCGAATCCCGTAACGACGGAGCTTCCCAACAAAGGTAAGCTAACACGAATTCATTTCCAATGGGCATTGTCGTGGCGTGGCGTGGCGTTAGGCGCGCGCCCCCACACCCATTACGCCACACTTATTATTGATTTACAATGATCGTTTCTCGTTTTTCTAAAGCCAATGTCCGAGCCACGCTCTCCCCCCGATTCACTTTCACTTGCTCGATATTGCGCCAAGCCATTGAATCGAACGGCCACGCACTTTTATACGCAGATAATAATATAATGGCTTTGGTAATTCTGACAAAACTGTATCGAGTAATAAAAATGATTTATTCGCTGTGCATATTATGATGTAGTTTACGAGCCATTTAAACAGCCTTATAAAGTTATATTTGATAGCATTTCACTCGAGATTTATTGCAACGTATAATACAAACATATTAATTAAAGACAATTATATTGTTTCAGTGCATTCGAATCGCTTCCCCTTCATATTGATTGCAAGAGAGTCGCGACGATTATACATGATCCATCCTACTAATTAAAATCACTAGACTCAGGAATACTTTGCAAATATTTACTAAAACAATTCGCGCGCGATAATGCACGATAAATACTTCCTGGATTCATAAATAATTGTTCCACGGTAAAGAAAAATAAAATACATGATCGAAAAAGCTAGCGTAAAAAGGGCCAAACAATTGTTCTCAATTCTCAATAGGGAGATTTCATTTTAATGTAGCATCTTGCTCCATTCAAACGGAAAAATATTTTTAATTTTGAGCCAACTATATATTGCATGAATAATTTCGAGTTAGTTTTTTATTATACTTTTTTTTTTCTTTTTTTTCTTTTTTTTCTTTTTTTCTTTTTTTTTTTTTTTTTTTTTTTTTTTTTTTTTTTTTTTTTTTTTTTTTTTTTTTTTTAACAATTTAAATGCAGGATTCCCAACAAAATTAAATGACTTTTTGTAGATGGATTTTCTTTTCCCGTTTTTTATTCTATTTTTTCTTTTTCTTTTTTTTTTCTATTGGTAAATTCTGAAATTACGCTTTCATAGGTTCTATTATTGAATTAAAAATCAAATTTGATAATTTTCAATAGCTATTTGGCTTCAAAGAATCATTTACGTATATGAAAGTTTTAATGCCATAGTATTTTAAATTATTGATGAATGAAAACGCAATTTCCATGATACGAAATTAAAGGGAAAAAAAATGTACTCATATTTTGTATTTTACCAAAAATCAATATCTACATGCGAAACCATATATTATCCTCCAATTATTATCTAAAAACTGTAATTTAATCCTACATAACAATGCAGGTAGTCGGTAAACTTCTCATATATTAAAGATGAAAAGTGTATGTTAATAAATTTTATAATATTTATATAAATATATATGATATATTGCACAGTATATTAATTTAAATCATGAAATATTAAAGACGATTGTAGCATCTAAAGTACATAAATTGAATGCTAATTGCCATTATTGTATACCATACAAATATTTAAATCTTAATGTAGCTGCAATAATTTTGTGCTGCAATCATCATACGTAAAAGAATTATATATTATATTTGCATAGATGATATAATGATTTAGGCTATAATCATTGCTCTTGATTTATTTTAAAAATATTGTTAAGTAATTATATCATCATATTAGCATTTAAGAAATTAAATAATCTTTCTATTTATTATTTAGAATGGGAATCCTCGGCGGAATTAAACAATTCCGTATACGGCAACCCGAGCTCTTTAACCATACATAACGATAAGAAGAAGGGTAAGTGATAAAATTAGTAAAAATTATACCTTAACGACACTTACTAATCGACATTTATCCATATAAATATCTCTGAATGCCATAAGTTTACAAGTCATTACTTTCTTCATCACGGGACATGATAAAAGCGAAAGGATAAAAAATATCCCTCGAGAGATCTGCCTATCCCTGTCGTATGTATCTTGATAGATCAGCTTTGACAAAATAAGAGTATATACGGTTACTCAAAATACTAAAGAGTATATATATATATATATATATATATATATATATGATTCCAAAAGTCTTGAGCTAAAGTAATTTCTATTCGTAGTGACGAAATTGGCAGCATCGCGGTCAATTAAACATGAAGCCGTGGAAATGCGAAATTATAAAAACGCTTAAATCGCTTAAATTAAAAATTATCACTCCAGTTACTGGATCAAAACTTTTAAATACTTACAACTTGTTAAAATACTGAAATCTAAGTCTTGCATAAGAGAAACACGTCGATGAAACGTAGAGTGAGAAGTTTCGTGGAAAACGAAATGTGGGCTGTTTTGTATTTTTCTTTTATCACATTCTTTTCAGCATTGTTTCGAAAAAATTTTTATTTTTTTTTCAGCAATAAATTATTTCGTTTTTCAATGTAAAAGTAAATGATGTTATTACATTTTCAAAAAATGTTTAATTACAATTTTAATATATATCGTGACTTTTACTTACGAAGATTTTAAATGTCGATGAAAAATCATCCACGATATTATGTCTTAAAACATTCTTTAAAGTACACAATTACATAATTACACTACTTCATTGTCAAAGCCTTAGCTGTAAATATTATTTGCTAGATGCAAATTTAAGAGAAAATTCATAAACATTTCCTACTCGCTAATAAGAATGAAGATGTAATAAAAGCGACAGAGCAGCTGTTACATATTGTGCAACGAATTATGAAAATATGGCCATATTTTTTGCTATAGCAGCTAAAATGAGAAAGTAAAGTATTAATTTTATAGGAAATGAAGGCAAGTAAGAAAAATAAAAGGACTTAGAATTTTGTAATGTAAATTTAAGTTTTCTTCTGTATATTGAAAATTAGCAAGATCTGACTGCAAAAATGGTCTATTAATTTAAAAAAATTCTATAATTTTTTCACATTCCTTTCCCTCGCTTAACGAATACGTTATTAAAAATTACTTTAAATACGAAAATCTTACATTTTAGTCTAAATTGTCTTTTGTATAAATAACGTGTAATAAAATAATCTATTTAATTACGAATGTGATTCTCTTGCGCTTCAATACCTTCTGCTATGCGACTATAAATATCCTCTTATAGCGCACCATTTGGAAAAGCTGTTTTTACAACCATTTGACAAATTAACAAATTATGTTGATTTACAAAGGCAATTAGCCGTCGAAAAGTTAGGATTCACACAACCGGTGCAAAGGTTTCATTATACTTTTGTAAATATTGTTAACTAAGCTCGTTTGTAACTAATCTTCCTTTAAATTTACATAAAATATCAATACCAGCATTCATTCAATCAATATTCAATGAATAATCTATTTCGACGTATTAAATATATTATAGAGCAATGAAAAATGAATCTCTTAAAAGTTATCTCTTCCATTTTATTATTATCCCATTATATCATCAAAGAGCTTCATAAGTTATTGATCCTGCATAAACATAGCAATTATACAATTCTTTTATACAATTATTGTTATAAAAATCAATCGATATGATTTTGTTCCAATTTTTTTTAATATTTATTTTGTTTGTTCACATAACGAGAATAAACCCAAATGTAAAATAATTTATTGTATTAAATGGTTTTCTTTTATATAATAGTTACAAGACATTTTATTTTTAGCGATCGCTAAACTTGAAAATGTAAAGTATTTAAATAAATTACTGTTAACATAGCGTCCCATGATCATTTTATATCAAACTATATATTATACCAGACATTTTTCAACAATTTTTCAGAAATTTTTGCTTAGTCTAATAATACTCCCATATAATTGATTTGTAGAAAAAAAAATTTTTTTCCTTTACTCGAAGTACTTTAAATTAATATGACAAGCATTAGTTAAACTTAAATAACAATTTAAATAGAAAGTTTAATGTAAAGAGCAACTCATACTTTATGCAATCTATTGAACTTTTGGCATTATATTTATATTGATTATTTTATTACAATCAGACTTATATTAATAAGTTGCTAGATTTTATAATTTATAATCTTGCTAACAATTGCAATAAACTAATTTATATTATCTATATAAAAATTATATATATATATATATATATATATATATTCATTTATATATAATTTATATAATCGTATATTAAATTTGAAAGTTAAATTTTGCTTAAAATTATATATATATATATATATATATATATATATAATATCCGATTAATTAATATCAGCATAATTGCGAATAAAGTAATTTTTTATATAAATTATAAGAATTTTAATTTAGAATTAAAAAGTAAAATTTCGTTAATATTTGAATAGATTAAATTAATTATTCAAATTTGTCAATTCCACAATTGTTTTCATAATAGATATAGTTTTTCTTTTCATCTTATTTTCATCCTGAATAATCATATTTGTTTAAATAAACAAACTATATATACTCATTGTTTAACTTTTCATAAATATTAACTTTTAAATTGTTTTATTTTTTATGAATCTGCAATTAGATTTTTCTTCTGTTTTTGCATATATTATTTATATATATATATATTGTTATTTTTATAAATTTTGTTTATATATTTATAAAAATGTAAATTTATAGTTTTTATATTTATTTTTTTTTATTGTCATATTATTTCCAAAGTCAAATTCCAAATGTAATCAAATAATTTTGATAAATATAAAAATTAAAATTTTATTTATTTTTGAATTATGTTAAATTTTCCTACAGCAGTAAATTACTTAATCTTTTACGAAATATCTTAGCATATAATTAATCAAAACTTTAATGGTTTCTTAGATTAATATCTCTATCGATGCTGTGAAATATTGTCAAAAAAATTTTAGCACGAAATCTTTGTATTGTTAAATATTATATTTTTCTCCCATCAAAAAGCTTTATATTTATTTTAATTATTTTTTTTTTTTTTTTTTTTTTTTTTTTTTTTTATCACATAACTACATTGTCTACATATTTTTATTTATTTTCATTTATTTTTATGTGTTTTATGAATTTTATTTAGTTTTATCATGGAATCACTTTTCATATGATTTAATGCGACATATTAATTATGTATTTGGATTCGTAAAACAAAATAAAGGGAACAAACAGTTGATAATTTCATAAACATAGTTTTATGCATATTATAGAATAACACATTGAGCCAAAAATACGCAGATTTCACCAAATGAGATTTTTCTCGCATT